GGATTTTCTTTAATACGAATTTGTTCATAGGAATTTTCTATGATTCGGATTTTCTTTAATACGAATTTGTTCATAGGAATTTTTTATAATTCGGATTTTCTTTAATACGAATTTGTTCATAGGAATTTTCTATAATTTGGATTTTCTTTAATACGGATTTGTTCATAGGAATTTTCTATGATTCGGATTTTTTTTAATACGAATTTGTTCATAGGAATTTTCTATAAATTGGATTTTCTTTAATACGAATTTGTTCATAAGAATTTTCTATAATTTGAATTTTCTTTAATATGGGTTTGTTCATAGGAATTTTTTATGATTCGGATTTTCTTTAATACGGACTCGTTCATAGGAATTTTCTATAATTCGAATTTTCTTTAATATGAATTTGTTCATAGGAATTTTCTATAATTTGGATTTTCTTTAATACGGATTCGTTCATAAGAATTTTCTATAATTTGGATTTTCTTTAATACGGATTCGTTCATAGGAATTTTCTATAATTTGGATTTTCCTTAATACGGATTTGTTCATAGGAATTTTCTATAATTTGGATTTTCTTTAATACGGATTTGTTCATAGGAATTTTCTATAAATCGGATTTCCTTTAATACGGATTTGTTCATAGGAATTTTCTATAAATTGGATTTTCTTTAACACGAATTTGTTCATAGGAATTTTCTGTGATTCGGATTTTCTTTAATACGAATTTGTTCATAGGAATTTTCTATAATTTGGATTTTCTTTAATACGAATTTGTTCATAGGAATTTTCTATAATTCGGATTTTCTTTAATACGAATTTGTTCATAGGAATTTTCTATGATTCGGATTTTCTTTAATACGAATTTGTTCATAGGAATTTTCTATGATTCGGATTTTCTTTAATACGGGTTTGTTCATAGGAATTTTCTGTAATTCGGATTTTCTTTAATACGAATTTGTTCATAGGAATTTTCTATGATTTGGATTTTCTTTAATACGGATTTATTCATAGGCAATTATTTCAACTTGTGTTCAAGGAACTCGCCACTGTCGTCATTTGGTCAATAATCTTTTAAAAATGTGAATTTCAACCCCTTGCGCTGACTGGTTCGCGGACCATAACGAGCGACCGAAACGTATACAATAATTTGTCGCTCTCTTTCTCTTTTAAACTCGTAGGAATGATATCACTAGGATAGAAATTATTAAGAAGTAACAAACTTATCATTTGTTTTGCCTGAATTACATTTAAATATACTTAAAACTGAGAAAACGTTGCAATTTGGGACCAAAAAGTTCTCGGCTTTCAAAAATCCCCGAATGTGTTTTAATTGTTTCGCACAAGCCAATTTCAAGCGAAACAACAAATCGTTTGTAACATTGAAACTATTAATTTTCCACGTTCGTCAGGACTTTCTTTCATATTTCAGCGTGTACTATCTCTGTATCTACTTTAACAGTTGTTCGCATAATATTTGTATTTACAAGTTGCAACTACAATGTCAATGATAGTTGAAATCAATGTCTGTCAAAGTGAATTTGTATCCGTGAGGAACGAACCGTTCAGATTGGTCTTTCTTCGCAGTTCTAATTACGCGTACGTTGTACGTCCAGCGTGCGTGAAGTCGATGACGGGGTCGAAACTCGAAAGGGCGCATTGTAGAAGCGACAGCGAGAGACGGTGATTTATGGTTGGTGCACGGACGAACCGATGATCACGAGGAATTCGAACCTTCGTCGTTAACGAACGTCCGCCCCTTTTAATTACTTTCTTCATTTATCAGCAAGGTGGCTCCGGTGTTAAAGGTCGGCGACTTTCCATGGGACGCCCTGTCACGAGTTAATTGACTGTCCCGAGAAAAAGAAATTCTAGTCAACACTTTCGCCGACTTAATTGGTTCAGATTTAAATTATCGTTTAACTTTTGCTCGAATCAGTTAAATATTTAAAATCAACTTGATCTTGCCCCAATGTTTTTTTGCTTAAATTTTATTTAAATTTCTCTCCTCAATGTTTATTTCAATCAGTTGACGTAATTTTTCTCGGTGTTTCTTTTCTCAATTTCTCTTCTCAACGAGTATTTACATTAACGTAATTGTTCATTTGAATTAATGCGTGATAATATATCGCTCTTATTTTTTTTCACTCTTTTTCTTCTTCTTCTTCTTCTTCTTCTTCTTCCAAGGACCGTCAGTTTTCGAGAAGACTCGCGAATAGACCTTGGAAAGTTTTTAAGACATTCAGAGTTATGGTCGACGTTTAATATCGACGTTTCCAAGGATCGATGGTAATAACAGGAACGTCGGAACAACGGGCATTAAAAGCGCCGTACGCGCCGGATTCCACGTTGATGTATCAACGTTTAATAATACGCGATCGGAAATCGTATGGAGCCACACCGTTGTTATATCACCGGAGTAGCGGACGTTCGATTTAAGCGTAGCGCGCTGTATTACGAAATTTCGAAAATACGGTACAACACGGGCAGTTACTTTCGTCCGGAGCCAATGAAAAATGTCATCGCCAGATGTTTTAAACCTTTCGATTGCGTCGAACGCTCGAAAGAGAACGATCGTCTATTCCGAATCTTCTTTTCTCTTTCTCTTTCTTTCTTTCTCTCTATCTTCTTTTTTCTTTTTTTTTTTTTTTTTAACGAGATCGTGCTTGTTCTTCAAAGAGGAAAGTTTACCGAGAGACAGTGAAATATCGTGCGTTCTGGCCGTACAATGTCTTTATTTTCGCGCTGTTTTATTCCTCCAGTTACGTAAGCCCAGAATTATTTTGATCTTCATTTTCTTCTTCTTCTTCTTCTTCTTCTTCTTCTTTTTCTCTCTCTCTTTCTTTCTCTCGGTTTCTTTCAAATTCTCGTTGCTCTTGCGATGTTTCTCAAGGCCGCGGAATTGTTATAAAATCTCAACAGTGGGCGAGTGCCGGACAACTCGGCTCGATCATGCGACAGGGGAACGCCTCGATCGTCGCCTACGTCTAAAAATGTCCAGCCTGTTCGAGCGGACGTTTAGCCTGTACCTCGATTTTTTTTTTAGCTCGTTCGCTCACTCGCTCTCGAGAGTCAATCGAGTGGCAATCGCGAATCGATCGGGATCAATTCGTCGCGATTTTCCGGGATCGAAGCGCGAATGAGAGTGTTTTGACTCACCATGTTATTTGCTATTTAATTACCTCTCCTATGTAATCCAAAACACGAAATACGTATTATACGTGTTTCGAAAGATCCGTGAAATTTCGTTCATTCGTATGGTGATTTAACCATTATGAAACGGATTATTCCGCGGATTATATTTTTGTTCCTTCGTAAAGCCTCGACCGTAGTGTTCCCGGATTGTCCGGGAAATGGCATTAAAAGTGACCAAGCACGTTCGCGAATAATGCTCGTAAACCAGCCAGAGCCGAGTCCAACAGCTGTCGATGGAAAACCAAATCTAAATTTAATCCCGACTAGAGACGAACAATGGACTTTTAACCTTTTCGAGCCTTGGAACAAGAATGCCGTGTTGGCCAACGAGTACAGAGAAACAACTTTCCCCGAAGTTTACGTAAAATCCAGCCCCCGTCAGATCATAGAGGCTGCTATCGTACTTGCAGATCCCCTTGACCTTTGACACTCCTGCAATTTCTCTCTATAATTATCGTGGATAAATATATAAAGCGTTAAAAGGGACTCGAGATTCAATGTTTCGATTTCGTTTTCGTTTAATCACGACCCTCGCTTTCATTTCCTTTCATCCCTCTGGGATAATTAGGTTTCAATTTCATTTCCTGTGCCTGCAGTTTCCTATTTCGAGAGTTTTTCGCACGTATTGTGAAAGTGCAAGTGTCAAGACGTTGCACGTTCATGTCGTGCAGTGTTTGGATAAATTATTTAATATACGCAAATTAATAGCGAACTCAATGCCCTGTCGCCTTCGATAGTTTTGAACAGTAATTTTAAGTAATTTAAAGACACGGAAATTTCACGGATTTAGAATTGTCAGAATGCGAGTGTCGAGGCGTTGCATCGATGTTTAGAACAGAGGTGGCTAACTGGCGGCCCACTTGGCTCCCCACTTTTCTCATCGCTAGCGCTATCCCCTCCACTGCGTCGATCGCTCCCCCACTACGTTGAAATTTCCTCGCCGTGTACGAGCCTCGTAGACGAAACGTAGTTATTAGTTATTACTCCGAGAGTATCATTTCCTTGCACAGAAAATTTTCTTCGTTTCGATCAATATTTTTTTAAAAATATACCATGTACTAATAATTATCAGTGAGAGGTATGATTTCTCATCAAGAAAGACCATCTTTTATTTCAAAAGAAGAAGAATCAAATTATTTGATTTGCGAATCGAGACTTTGTGCATCTGTTTTAACTGATTAAAATTGTCATTATCTTTTTGTCAATGTTCATAAGTCACCGGACACTTGCTTATTTTGAGGTGAATAGTTACTAGAACACAGATATACTTTTCTGGATTAATTTTATTGTACAATCTTGTTACATGTACTTATTTTATAATGATACTCGAAAACAAAACTGATATTTTACGTATATAGTCTGAATGAATATTTCAAAAAATATAAAAAAAAGGAATATGTTTAAAAAATCCAGTCGAAGAATTATAGGACAAATTGGACAGAAGACTTCGGGAAACGTGTTCAAAATCGAAAAAAGGCTTGTGAAAGTAATCATAATAAGCGTGGAAAGAAATTCATTCCGATAAATATTGATAAAGTTAATCGAAAGAATGACACGGTTAATTCGGGTCGTCATATTTGCACGAGGCGGATATATCGGCGAAACAAAGATATAAGATACATTATATACTTCTTGATAAGATTTTTGACACATCAACTGTACGACACGTGTATTCTAGATATTATACACACATACGTAATAATTAGTAATTTTGTTTAAATAAGGATATAAAATAATAAAATAGAATATTTCATCGAATAATATAACTGTCCATACCTCAATTTTTGTCGTAGTGTGTCCGGTGACTTACGTATAAAAAAAAAAAAAAAAATAAATAAATAAATAAATAAATAAATATCAAAATGCGAAAGTCGATTTTTTTCTGTCAAAACGTCGCCTGGATTCCCAGCCCGGCCCATTGTGCGGTGACGCGACCTTCGTAGGACCGATCGGACGTAGGAAATTTGGCTGGGCGATGGTCTAAGGACGTCTGGTTCGATTATTTATCGGTATGTTGCGATGCGTGGGCAGCGGCTCGCTTGTGTTCCTCGCTGCTTCTTATTCGCTGGCCGGCTTCCAAACGGCGACACCCTCACACCTTCTGTGTTCCGTTCGAAACGCCGGTCTGTTCGTGTGCTGCACCACTGACACGAACGCGTTTCACCTCGCGTCCAAGTTACGTCGCCGCGGTTGCCGCGATTACGTGCCGAGCGAGCTCTTCCTCGTCCCTCTTTCGTTTCATCCCTCCGCTTTCGTTCCTCGTCCCACTTTTATTCTCTCTCAGCGGTCCGACAGTTGGTGTTTCTTTTTTTTTTTCTCTTCTTTTTCTCTAAATTTACGGTCCTCTGAATTCTCTAGAATTTTTTGTCGGAAATTTCGATTACTCCCGAGGTTCCTCCGAGGTTCGTAAAAAGAATCGAATCGTTTTAAATAGAGGGAACGACGGGAGAAAGACGATGTCGAGAGGTGGAGGCCTGTTGTTTTACGAGAGACGAGTCCTCGAAGGACAGGCATCGGGATATTCTTGGATCCGAGTATCACGACGAGGAAGTATAATCGTCAAACGAGAAAATGTACGGTGTGTATTAATAGATTTCCTTTAAAAATAGTCCCGTGATACATCGGGCGCGCGAACAAATCGTAAAGTGTCCCCCGTACAAGCCTCTTCTTCTAGGATACCGTCGGTCCTTCAATTTCACCCAATGCGAACACGGTCGCTCGTTTTTCCTTCCTTTCTGTCGCGCTTTGCAGTTCTCCCTGTCTGTTCGTCGATTTTTCTGCGCTTTCTGCTAAAGAGGAACTCTCGCGAGAGAAAAGGAAGTTTCCTGTTTCTGATAATCCAATTATGCGATTGGACTTGTTTGCGACGATATAGAGAAGACCGTTTATCGTTATTTTCACTCTACGTATTTGTTAAGTATTTTATTATTTAAATATAATCCAAGAAAGACAAACAGTCAATTTATCGCTGCTTGGTAATTTTTATCTTTATTTCAAAGTGGAAAGCGACAGTGAATTTATTAGCGATGTCGTTCCGACGAGTTCAAAAAGAAAGCGACGAATTATTGCATACCGGTGGTCAAATTTTTGTACCCTCACGTGCCAATTTTTTTCTCAAGTAAGCTTCGACGCGCCACTAAATTATTTCAGCAAACGTCTTTATAGATAGTAAACGCGTAAGAAGGACATTAGAAAAAGACAAAATAACTCACTTTTTAATGAAATTTATGAGCCTGTTGTAGCGAGAATTATAGAAGAATTTTTTAAATTCTCATCGTTCACGCCATTCTCGATCGATTCTTATTTTGAATTATTAGTTTAGAGGGTACCCATAAGCAATGTCGTCCTTTGATACTTTTGGTGCAAAATTTTATTTTATTTTAAAGTTAATACAGCTTTAATCTATGGTATAATCGTTATTGACAATCTTCGTCCATCTCTCTGACAAACTTTCTCTTCCCTTTTTGTAAAATCAGATAAAAAACAACGCTGAACATGTTCTGGTATCCAAGTATCTAAATGACATTTGTGGCGTTAGTGGCATTGTTGCTTTTCAAAACTCATATTAAAAGCATATTAAACAAATTGTTAGCATAGCATATTAAACAAAAGCAAACAAATGTTAGCATAGCATATTAAATAAAAGCATATTAAACAAAACTCATATTAAAAGCATATTAAACAAATGTTTAATATAGAATTCATCCACACTTTGCTCTTCCATTCTTATAGGATTCACTGAAATTTCTTCAAAATTTAACAATAAGTTATTGACACTAAATGTCAATACATTTAATTAGAATATAGATTACGTCGTAACAAGTTAAATCATTGCCACTAGATGGCAATGTTTATTAAATTTGAAAAAAAGCGACATCACTTGTAGCCAAACCTTTAATAATTTCACGAAGAAAGGAGCTTGTTTGAATCTATGGGTACTTCCAAACAGGCATACACATATACTTTTGTGCAAACTTCCCGAGGTTTGTGAAAAGCTTCGCGAGGTAGCATCTTGCAAAGCATTTATCCAGTCAACGCCATTTGGAACAGGAGAGGGGGTATCAAATTTTGCTTTTAAGAAAACTGAAAATAGTCAAGTTAATCTCGATATTTCTATATCTTGTGTCATTCTATGCGCCACCTAGTGCTTAGCCACCCCTATACAGTTTGTTCACGCGTGTCCGCGAACCAGTTGCGTGGATGCAACGAGACAGGACAAACGTTACGTCACATGTTCGCCCGCCGAGCAATTTACTCCGTATTGGATTTACTCCGACGTCGCGCGATTTACTATTGACGAAGTGAAGAAAAGCGAAGGAAAGACTAAAAAATTAATCAAGCCCGGAGAGACGAAGCGGAGGCGCATCGACGTCGAAGCGGATCAGCGATCGTTTCTCAAACAATCCGCCCATAAATTGATCCGCCCCTTCGATCAAGCTATTCCGGTGGAAGACACGGAGCGACTGGAGAGAGAGAGAGAGAGAGAGAGAGAGAGAGAGTCGTTGATGATCAGGCAAGCGCGCGACGATGCTCGCCTTTATCGAACAAGATCGAAGATAATCTCGCCCTACCCCTCTTTCTCGATTCTTTTCTTTTCTTTTCCTGCAATCATCCCCCGTGCGCGCGCGCGCGTCCTAGTCACAGACGACCGATCTCCTGTTGCTCTTGGCAGCCATACGCGTGGTTTACGTGGTAACAGCTGTGCTCGCACGCACTTTACTCGCGCAAAACATCGCTAATGGACCAACAACCTCCACCGAGTTAGCCTCGCTTACGCGTAAATATAGTGAGGCGACCAGGTCTCTCTCCTCTTTCTCCGTCGTTTCTTCTTTCTTCCCTTTGTGAATCCATTGGATCACCGGTTAGTTGCCACCGTTGATCACGAAATTTATAACACCGAGTGAGAGAGAGAGAGAGAGTGAGAGAGAGAGAGAGAGAGAGAGATAGATAGAGAAAAGTTTCCTCGTACCTATCTCGATTTCTGTTAACCCTCGACTATCACTTCCGAGGGGACATCGTGTCTTGAATCTGATGGTTCAAAGTTTGGACTTTCCTTTTTCTTTTACAATTGCTGATAATTACGTTGTTGTAATTATATTATGTATATTACATTATGTTATATTACGTATATTATATATATTATGTTATAATTATATTACGTATGTCATGTATATTATATATTATAATTATATTATATTACGTATATTATATTATAATTATATTATATTACGTATGTCATGTATATTATATTGTAATTATATTATATTGCGTATATTATGTATATTATATTACGTATGCTATGTATATTATGTTATAATTATATTATATTACGTATGTTATGTATATTATATTATAATTATATTATATTACGTATATTATAACGATATATTATAATTATAATATAACGATACATTATAATTATAACATAATTATAATTATAATATACTTATAACGATAACATAATTATAATTATAACGATATATTATAATTATAACAATTATAACATAGGTATTGTATGACATAGTGCTAGAGTGGAAGCTACAAGAGTTAAAAAATTTCAGAAGATGATGAACTAAAAGGGAACAGTGGCAGTCATGAATTAATCGACATTCGTTGTGACAACTCGCATGAACTATAATTCTTGCTTCTTATGGAAATTTATAAAGTGGCGGAGGGAATTATTTTTCCCCCGAAGTTTGAATGTATCTAGCAGTGTCGTCATGTCACATGTATAAGAGAAGTCAAATCAACAAAATTTTATGCTAAATACCATTTACAACAGGATACTTATTTCCAATGCTATGTCATTTTTAGCGATATTCCAGTGACACATCATTATTTATGAATGTTGATATCACTCAGTGCTATTTTGTAAATATATTCTTGGTAGATGATACAAAAAATTCGAGAGCAAAATGTTAAATCTTCGATAGGTCGCACGATTGTCGTTATCAGCAGTCATGTGGAGTATAACAAAAGCGTGGGTAGCCATGTTTGAAACAGGTCGGGACACCAGTTTATTTAACCAGAATTTTGTTTTATGGTGTTATTTGCGTCGATAGATTTCTTCTGGGATTTAACGTTTCTCTAGTGTTTGGAATTTCAAAGGAGAATGAATGAAACGATAATAAAAGTTTCCTAGTTAAACAGTCAAGCTTACAGTTCGCAGCTGTAAGTGCTCGATCGAAGAACGATAATATATTACGACGTAACGTCTCGAAACCTTCAGATCAGTTAGATGCAAAATCCTTTCTAACAATCCTTAGCCCTAAACCAAGAACGATAATAATATTACAAAAACCTATCAATGTATCTTAAAACTTGACTTGAATCAATTTTTAGATACAGAATTCTTTCTAAGAATTTATAACCCTGAACCAAGAACCATAATAATATTATAAAACCTTATCAACGTGATATCTCCAAACTTTCAATTAGACTTGAATCAATTAGATACAGAATTCTTTCTAAGAATTTATAACCCTGAACCAAGAACCATAATAATATTATAAAACCCTATCAACGTGAAATCTCAAAACTTTCAA